AAAAACTGCTTAGACCCTAAAAAGCAGAACCAACGGAATAAATAAGCGAGGTCTCGGCCGAAATCTCCGATTCGCCCGAGACCCCGTCGCCGAGCCCAGCCGGAAGAAGTGCCGATTCTTCGATTCACGCGAGGTCGGTGGCTCGACACCAACCCGTGACTACCTCTTCGACCAAACCGCTCGACCGAACATCACATCCAAGCGCCCAACCACTCCGGCAGCACGACGACGGCACAAGACAATCTGGTAAGTGACCGACTACACGCCCGATCGCGTCAACCTCCCGCCATCTGCGATGGCATGAGAGGGGTTACCGACCACCAGGTCGCTGCCTAACTCCGCACCAAGGACATCGCATAGCGTGGGGAGTCGAGCGGGTTCTGTAGCCTCGGAATCGCCGGACCGACCGCTCTGTCTCGCCCGAGCCCCCTCGACGGGCCTCGGATTCAGCGATCTTACTCCGCCTCGCCCGTCCGCCGCCCGAGACCCCTCGGTAGGGCCTCAGACGAATTGGCCACGCTCCGCCTCGCCCGAGGCCGGGCTTGTCCCGCAACCTCGTCGCCTCCGCCTCAAAGGTCTCTCTAGCAGGCTGTCGCATCCGATTAATGCGCTCAGCTGCACCCGCTACGTAAGCCACGATCGGCAGTGCGCTACAACAGGAGCGACGGGACAACGGATAGATGACCTTTTTTACCATCCTCATCGACAATACAGGTATCACCGTATCCCGTGGGCGCACGTCTCGCACTATTCCGCGACCGATACGAGACCCGTGATTCGCACTGGTCACTTCTCGAGGCCTCGGCACGGCGAGCCTCGGCACGGCACAGCCTCGGCACGACAGAGCCTCTAAGACGACCGGCCACGATGGCCACCGAGCCTCCGCAATCCACCAAGTCAACAAAATGCGCGGCATGTTACTTGCGATGGAGACCATACCGATTAGACATCTACGGGAACTCCCACGACAACGCCATGCTGCTCCGAGGAGTAAATCGTCATCGAATAGTCCTTGCTCCACGTGTAGCTCTCTTATGTACTCTGGTTTCCTCCTGCGGCTATAAAAGGAGGCGGCCGGGACCGCGTTTTCGAGGACGGCGGATAGAGTCACGAATACTCGCATACGAACAACACGCCTCGTTCGTAATTCATATCACCTCCCTCGCGCGAGAGATCCGGGACGAACTCCCTCTCTCGCCCAATTTTGTAACCCCTACTACGAGCATCCCGGTGCAAGGAATATAAGAACATCTTCTCAGACTGGACGTAGGGCATCCATTGTCCGAACCAGTATAAACTTTGTGTCTCTTTGTATCACCATCCGGAATTGGAAGCACGCAGCACAAATTCACTAGTCGGTTAAGCACCCCCGGTTCCGAAACGCCGACAAGATGCATTCCAGGCAAAAACAGCTATTGAAATCTCTGAACTGATATCATAGGCCAATTTGATGCATGCTCCCTTCTCTGATTTAGTACAGAAACTTGTAACTGTCTGCCGACAACCGAAGCGCTCAGTAGCACATGGTTACTCTGACTGATGCACCGATAGGCCAACAACCTAATCATAATAAGAGACCACTTTGAAGCTAACAAAGAAAAGGACTCAGTCTTATAAGGATGAGTATGAATTGAAGACAGCATAGCAGTATATGTCATCTCAAGCAGTGATTAAATGCTAAGAATAATGTCAGAGTGGGAAAACATTCCATTAATCAGTGCTTGAAGCACATTGTCCACGTACAAATCGTCGGTGGGATTAAAAAAGATTCGATGCTGCATAATGTCTCTGAGTCCCACAGCTTGATTTGTCATTAGGACTAAACAACATGGTTGGTGCGGTACTACGCGGTGGTTGAGGCTGGCACAGCATGCTACATTTCTTGCTCGTCCTAGGTGTCTGCATGTAGGTAGGGTAGGGTAGGCCCCTGGTGGTTGACTCGAGTTTCAGACTCACTGCACTGCACTGCAGCATTCTGTCTAGATTGACGTTTGGAATTAGTATTTGGCACTGTAATACTTTCGTTTGTATTTAACAATTATTATCGAATCATAGCCTAACTAGGCTTAAAAGATTTGTCTCGTAATTTACAATCAAACTGTGTAATTAGTTATTTTTTTTATCTACATTTAAAACTCCATGCATGTGTCTAAAGATTTAATATGATGGAGAGAGAATGAAAAAACTTACAATCTAAACAAGGGCCAGTACAATGTAAAGGCAGCCGACAGGAACAGTGTTACTTGACGTGCTTGCTGTAGCTAGATGTTGCTCTTCTACCTTCCCCGCTGATGAGGCCAGTTCGAAAACTTTTCAAAAAAAAAAAATGCTACAGTATTCGTCACATCGAATCTTACGATACGTATATGTAGCATTAAATATAGATAAAAAAAAACTAATTACATAATTTGGTTGAAAATTACAAGACGAATATTTTGAACCTAATTAGTCCATGAACACTAATTACCAAATAAAAATAAAAATATTACAATAGCTCAATTTTCAAAATTTGGCCTAACTAAACAAGACCTGAATTGCAAGCAGAACCAAAGAAGAACAACCAAACTGCTATCGTCCTTGTACACTGCAGACTGCCCAAGATGCATGTGCATCTTCACTCCACTCATGCAAAGTTCCAAACAGGTTAAAGCCTCGTTTAGTTTCTAAAAATTTTCGCCCCAAACTATCACATCGAATCTTACGGCACATGTATGGAGTATTAAATATAGACGAAAAAATTAATTGCACAGTTTGGTTGGAAATCACGAGATGAATGTTTTAAGACTAATTAGTCCATGATTAGCCACAATTGCTACAGTACTAACATGCACTAATGACGGATTAATTATGCTTAATAAATTCGTCTCGTAGTTTCCAGACGAGCTATGTAACTAGTTTTTTATTAGTATCTGAAAACCTCTTTCAATATCCCTAAAACATCCCATGTGACATTAAAAATTTTCATTTTGCTAACTAAACACACCATAGCCCGTTTCTGAGAGTGTATTCGCACGCCACGGCAGCTACAGTGAATGAATAGTGTTGATCAGACTGAACAAGCACGTCGTACCTTCCTGTTTGTACTGCATCATCATGATTTCAAACACCGAAAGACAGCTTTAGTGGTTTGGCTTGTTTCACTTATAAGACATCGTTCAAAGTACTATTGGTTGATTTGGTGTGAAAGAAAAATACTATTTATTGGCTGATAAGCCATGTCTTATAAGTCAAACATGACAAAGCGAAGAGGTTGGGTTGATGCATGCGAGCAACAACATTCATCAGTACCATGACTGCAGTCATTTTAGTCTGTAGTAACTGATTGTGACAAACTTCAATCTAGGAATGACTGCAGAAAGAATAGGCTAATTACTAGTATTTGGTGGTGGATCAAAATCAGAGCTTCCTTGTGGTTATGCGAACATTCAGTGCATTTATCGTTAACATGACAATTACAACGCACACCTTACAACTAATACGTGCCTTGCACTCTTATACATGGACTGCTATTCAGGAACAAATACTACTGGTTGCACGGCTTCTTCTTGGACTTGTGCAGGAAGCCAACCCGTGCCTGATCCTGCAGGGAATCATGTGGACCACCATCAGCTGGTGTACAATGCAGTAAATAATGGTACCTATTGTCCAGCCAGCAAGCATGTTTCCCTGGCCTCTTTTCTTCTCTGCTCACTATTCATGCTTTTCAGACTGAATGTACCAGGCAGAATAGTTTTCTGAAACAAAAAGCAAATTAGATTCACACCGCATATATTATATTATACCACTTGACAGCCAAGCATTATCATTTAGACCCCACAGGGATAGGACAGGATACTCCATAAAGCAAATGTGAGCACAGGATTTCACCTAACCAGTAGCAATATCGAGTCTGTACAATGGCAATAGGATACTCTTTTTTTGGGTGGCAAGTGTGGAAAGGAAGGCAAACAAAAGGCAAGGCTAATCATTGATGGTGCGTGTTTGCACGACTCAACGTTTTTCAGCAGATGTTTTTAAAGGAATTCACACCGCACTGTCTTCAAAAGTGACGCATTCGTGTCTCACTTATTTTTGTTGATGCACTGATAGGCCAATATGATGGGCCCCCTTTTATTTGGACAAAAGTCTGTAATGGTTGACTCAGAATTACTGAATTATGCTATGTTTGTTTGGCTGATAAGCCATGGCTGAAAGTACTGTTGGCTGATTTGTTATGAGAGAAAAATACTGTTTGTTGGCTAAAAAAGTACTGCTTATAAGCCAAGCGAACAGGGTAAACTAATGAATAATATTTTTCTCTCACAACAAATCAGGCAACAGTACTTTCAGCCATGACTTATTAGCCATTTATTGGCATGCTACAGTACTAGCTTGTCCTATCTATAATGGTTGGTGCGAGTGGATTGGTGCAGCCGTCGGTGACACAAATAAACACTTCTACATTCTGATATTCTAACCTTTTTGTTTCATTCTTTATTTTATTTTTTATTTGGAAAAAATACTAGTGACAGGTAGATAATATCTGGAGCACACATGAGACTCATCTAGCCTGTTCGGGAGGCCGTATCGTATCGTGGATTATTTACTGCTGGCTGATTTGGTGTGAGAGAAAAACACTGTTCCCGGCTGGAAATTTACGATCGTTTACGAGCAAGCGAACATGCTGGATTTTGCAAATTCAGACAGTATAACCGTAGTACACCGATGACCGATGTATACACACAAACTTTCTATTTCTGATTTCCGTACAAGGGCTATTCTAGCTACTTTGACCTGAAAAAAAATTCATCTCTACAACAACATTACAAATAGTCCGACACTGCCCCCCTTTTTTGTGGTTAGCCCATGGGTCAGTGCTCAGGTTGCTTGAGTATCACTACTTTCTCTAGAGCTGGACCATATAGCCATGTGCAGGAGTGTGCTGCTCCCATTGCCATTGTACAGACTCGATAGGTGACCATAAAAGAGGAGAGCTAAGCAGTACGGTTCCTGAAGAAAGAATGAAGACAGAGGCCGGTCACAAGGCGATAGCAGCAGGTGGCAAGATGACGGTGCTCCATGCTCCAGTTGGAGTGATGAGCATCGTGACCTCCTTGGTGGCTTTCTTCATCTTAGCCAGCTCCATCGTCTTCCTCTTTGACAGAGGCCAGGAAGAGCAAGTGCAAATGGCAGTAGAGCATGGACGCCAAGAAGTGCAGGTGAAGCTGGAAGCTGGGCTCCAAGAACCAGCGATCAGAGGGACAACTGAAGAGGGGGACGCCAGCAACGAGGAGTGCAACTGGTCAAGGGGGCGGTGGGTGTACGACAACGTGTCTCGGCCATTGTACAACGGGCTCAAGTGTGCCTTCATCTTCCCCGAGGTGGCCTGTGACAAATATGGCAGGAAGGATGTCATGTACCAGCACTGGAGATGGCAGCCTCATGGATGCGACCTCCCAAGGTATGACGATTACAGATTTTCCAAGTATTTTTAGCTCAAGCCCAAAAATTCCAGCATATCTAAAAGTGCAGCTCTCGAGCAATATATAAGCTCTGTCAGTATCAGTCAAGAATTTTCCTAAGGGTAGTAAATGGTTTTGTTTTATAGAAGCATAAAAACACTGAAATAATCTGTAACTGAATAAAAACACAGGATAGTACAGCAGAAAGGAAGAAACAACTAGTACTGAGATTGCAAAACTGATCTCGTTAGAGTTGTTAGCTGGAGGCCAACAAGAAACTAATTAAACATGCATGGCAACTAATTGACAGTGAAAGATCCTACCTTTTATTTTATCATTTGTACCATTTCAAAAGCTTGTACGTAAGAGTAGAAAGGAGATCATATTTAGCATAACTTTGCATGGATTTTTTGACATGCTGTCTGAATTTTACCTTTTCAAAACAGATTCGATGCCATCAAGCTGCTTGAAAAGCTGAGGAACAAGAGATTGGTGTTTGTGGGTGATTCAGTCAACAGGAACCAATGGGTCTCTCTCGTGTGCATGGTGGAGGCCTCAATACCCGATGACAGGCTCAAGATACGCATCTTCAATGGCTCACTCATCTCCTTCAGGGCATTGGTATGCTTCCCTTCACAAATCTACAGCCTACAGAAACCAACAATTTTATTTGGTTAGCCTGTTTGAACATATAATTATTTTTCAGGAATACAATGCAACAATAGATTTCTACTGGTCACCACTACTGGTTGAGTCCAACAGCGACAACCCCATTATTCACCGGGTGGAGTACCGGATCATAAGGGCAGACAGAATTGAGAAGCATGCCAGTGTCTGGAGGGATGCTGACATCGTTGTCTTCAATTCTTACCTGTGGTGGAGGAAGCAGAAGGATGACATGAGGATGAAGGTCATGTAAGTACATTTCTATCCTTCCTAGTCATAACTCATACGCATTGTGCCGTCAGTTTTGCACATCAGAAAAAAGATACCAGAACTGGTCATTTAAAATGCACTAACATAGTTACCAAATGCCATCAGCGACTAGGTAATAAAGCTTTTATATATGTGCAGGTATGGCTCATTTGAAGATGGTGATGCAAAGTTAGACGAAATGGAAATGGTCGATGGTTTCGAGATAGCTCTCAAGAAACTAACCGAATGGCTTGGAGAGAATATTGACAAGAGCAAGACTAGGATCTTTTTTGCAGGATCATCACCAACACATTCCTGGTGAGAGAGATACCCATGAATCATTTGCAACACAAATAGTACAATACCGACATCTCCATGACATCCAGTGTGTTCACATTTTTTGTTACTTTCAGGGCTAGCGACTGGGGTGGAGAAGACAAGAACAAATGCTTTAACGAAACAGAGCCGATCTACAAAACAGGATACAAAGCTGCAACTACAGACTACAGCTTGATGGCCACGGCTAAGTCCTATTTCCGAACATTGGAACCGAAAGGCATACATGTTCAGATACTTAACATCACCGAGCTGTCTGACTACCGGAAGGACGGGCATCCGACGGTGTTCAGGAAGCAATATGTTCCTCTAACGAAAGAGCAAATTGCTGACCCAGCCAGCTACGCGGATTGCACGCATTGGTGCCTCCCCGGAGTTCCTGATGTCTGGAACGAGTTTTTGTATGGCTATCTTGTGCAAAAATGATGTACAAACTGTCAGGTTCGTTTTACCCCTATAATATATAATGTACAGAGGATGCTCTTGTGCAGAGAATGGTTGGACCCTTTACATTTACATGTAGAGACAGGGAAAATGAGAAAAGCAAGGATCTGTCTGTGCATCACCTAATAGGATCAGTGTACGATCTGTTTACATCTAACAGAGCAACATGGTTTTGTAAGAAACTTGTCATTGAAAAGAACAACTTAAGAATGATTAACTGTCCTAGACTCCTAGATGTCCCTGAAATTCAGTTCAACTCAATTCAGCCATACCAAGTAAGCAACAAAATCATACTTGACATTTGAGTGGTGGGCACTGGGTAGGTCAAGGAGAGGAGAGAAGAGAAGAGCAATCTGAAGCTGCTATCGCTGAGCCGAACACAGGTTCCAGTTGTCGCCGGCCCGCCGCACACAGCAGCATACAACTCCCGCCGACTCGCGGCCGCGGAGGGGGCACGTCGTCATCGCCGCCCTGGAACTGGAACGCGCTGCTATGGCCACCGGACGTCTAGACGACAGACACCCCAGCCGGCTCCGCCGCAGCTATCCAGGCCATGGGCCTCATAGGCTACGGGACATATACGGGCTGAAAGGCCAACCCAGCCCAACCCATGTGAGTAACACTTGGCTGATGTGGCCCGACAACGGCCCAAGTTTAACAGCCGCCGCGGCGGGGTCTGCGATCCTCTCGTCTCGTTTCGTCCTCCTCGGCTATGGCGGCTGCATCTACTGTTTCCTCCCTGATTCCGCTTCCGCTTCCCGAGTCCGACGACGGTAACGCCGCCGACGCCTCGGGCTCAGGCTTGGTCCTCCTCGACAGGTGGTGCTACATCGCCAACCTCGTCAACGCCACCACGGCCGAGGGCACCACGAGCACCGGCTTGCGCATCCAGGTGACCTTCCGCGCCGCGCGCCCGCCACTGGTCTCCCACTTCTGCGTCCACTGACCCGGCCTCGACTTCCCCAACGCAACTCCCAAGGTCATCACCACCGACGCCGACCTCGTCCTCCTCTGCGTCCCCGTTTACCCCGACACCATCGGCCACGGATGGGACTGGGACTACTTCGTCTACAGCCTGCGCGCCCGTCGCCTAGATCTGGTCCCGAACCCGAACCACAGGTGCCTCACCGACTCTGCAACTGTCCTCCTTAGCGACGTGCTCAGCGAGTCCCCTGTGCTCCACGACGTCCCACTGCCGGTGCCGGCAATGGGCAACTGGAATCCGCTCCTCATGGAACTCGACCCTTACAATTTCCGCGATGTAATCATCAGCCGAAACAGAGACTCTATCAAGTACATTGAGACGGAATCCTGGTCACCAAGAGAGCTTAATACGGCACCAGCTTAACACGGAGTGGGTGCGCAATAAATGGAGAGGCTTTTATCTATGGGATATTATAAAAGTTGGTAATTACAAACAAGCTATTAAAAAAAGTTGAGTTCTCATAGATGCGATTGCTATAAACTCTTTTGTCCTCCGCGCCACTTCCGTCAGATTTGACTCTAACGGTATCAAACTACGGGTGTGAAAAGTCAAAAATACTTTCAGATCTAAATATGCAATTAATTTTTTTAAACATCTTAACCATCTTAAATTAAAAAACTCAAAACTAGAAAGTTGTAGATCTCGTCGAGATCTACAATATTTATATAAAAACATCTTCAATTGATTCCGTACAAAAAAATATGATTTTTCTAAGACAGATTAATCATATCAAATCATATCTTTTTTGTACCGAATTAAATGAAGATAATTTTTATACAAAAATTGTAGATATTGTTGAGCTCTACAACTTTCTAGTTTTGAGTTTTTTTATTTGAGCTCATTAAGATGCTCAAAAAAATTAATTGCATATTCAGACTTAGGGTATTTTTGACTTTTCACAACCATGGTTTAACACCGTTAGAGCCAAATCTGACGAAAGTGGCGTGAAGGGCAAAAGAGTTCATAGTAGTGGCACCTGTGAGAACTCAACTTTTTTTAATGGCTTGTGTGTAATTATCAACTTTTATAATGGCACACAGATAAAAGTCTCAAACAAATCGTCAAGTATACAAACAATTATATACATATAAGCGGAGATATACAAATATATATATGTTCATATATACACAAATACATTTTGCACGAATTGAGTTTCCATGCTAAAAATAAGATACGTGTCTATATATAAATGTATTTTTATTTAATTATTATTTTAATACCCAACTCAGCCACATATATATTATAACATTTATTTATTGTTATTCATATATACGTGCAAGTCTGTACTTTTATCTACTATTTGAAATAGCTAACAATAAATAATATTTATATATTTTATATACATCTTGATTTCTTTGACTTGTCAGTTACTAGAATGATATCTGATTATGGACAGGATTAACGATATTGATCAACACGGTGTTACTAGACCCGTCTTGGTAGTTGGACCCGCATGCCACCTGGACAACAATGTTAATAAAATCAATAAAATAATTTGTGACACACCATCCTTGCAAATTACTCTTTATGACATGGCAAATATTGTCATAATATACAATTGGACTAGCATTAAGACATTTTTTGTGACATAAATTTACTTATGTCACTAAGTTTGGATGCATCTAGATAAATCGTAATAAACTAGTTGATTTAGTGACTTTTTAATCAGATGTCGTGCCATAAACGTCATAAACCGGAACATTTTTTGTAGTGGAGGAAGCGGAAGGGATAAGGATGGGTAATTTTTTTTAAACTGGATGGGTGATTTTTTATAATAAGCTCACGGGCAAAGCGAGCGGCAGGGTAAAAGCGCAAGCAACGAGGCGGTGGGCCCGCGGGAGTGTCCGACGATTTGTGCTCGTGTTGGACGTAAGACGCGTAGCATTACCGATTTTTTTAGCTAGGTCTTCAACTAGTTGTTAGCCAACTAGCTAAACAAGCATAGCTAATTTAGACTAATTTTTACCCACAACTAATTTAGACTATATATGGGAGACTTTAAGGGTTGTAACCTATTGTCCATCTTTTTTCTCGTTGCTCAAGTGGTGAGGCCTAACTTCGGGTCGAGATATATAGAAACAAAAGAATACTCCAGATCACCAACTGCTATGTACCTGATTGAGTTTGGATTTGGTTGTCGGTGCCTCTGCCCTATTACTAAAGGGTCTTCGGTTTCAATTCGTTGGATATATTTGTTCATGTCTAGAGCAACCGAACGAAACACGCGCCAGATGTGTTCAATTGTTCATCTTCATTATTGCTAACCAGCTGCATGTTTGTTTTCCATATATCTTAAATGGAGATCCTACTTGGTTTCCCCTGCTTGGTTTGCTTCCATTTTCATATTGGGAAAATTGGATGCATAGCATCGAAAGATCTCATCTTTTGCTATGTAACATTAAAAGATCACTCTTGGCTACATATAGCATCAAAAGATCACTTCTTTTGGAAATTTACCACTTTCCGTCGAATTAGCTAACGCCGGCTGCTCACCGTGAAGGACTGTTGTGCTATGGCCAGGCTATCCATCGCTCGCTACTTTGGTTCAGCACGTAGGGATGCCATGGCTGAGCTCCGACGACCCCAGCCAGGCCAGACGCGGTCCTCTCCAACTCTTCCTCCTAGCTCCTTCCTACTCGTTACCCTGCTGCGGAGCGGAGAGACTACCACTTCCACCTCCTCACTTCCGAACCCAATCCCATCCTCTCTTCCAATGACGGGACAGCAGCAGGCGGGCTCCCCATCTTCCAGCTCAGCCGGGCTCGCCAGCAGGCAGGACAGGACGATAACGACGAACAGGAAGAGGAGGTGACAGGCGGGGGCGGAGGAGGAGCAGGGTCTTTGTCGTCGTCCGCGCCATGCCAGCAGGATCGACTTCTGGTCCTCTAGCGGCAGGGTCATGGTCTATCCGGTGCTATCCTCGACGAGGCTCCTGTCAAACGACGCTAACGGTCGGGAGCCGTCGCCGCCGCCGCGATGCAACCACGCGTAGTCGTTGATGCAGCCAGACCTCGAGGAGCCACAGGCGGGCATCCCTGGGCGGCAGCATCACGGTGATGGCCACATAACGCAGCCCTTCACGGTGAGCAGCCGGTGTTAGCTAACTTGATGGAAAATGGTAAATTTCCAAAAGAAGTGATCTTTTGATGCTACATAGCTAAGAATGTATCTTTTGATGGTACAAAGCAAAAGATGAGATCTTTCAATGGTATGCACCCAATTTTCCCTTTCATATTCGTTTTTAAATGGAGATCTTACAAGTACATCCACAGCAGGAAAATGGAAGCAAACCAAACAGGGGAAGGATGGTAATGCATTGCTCTCACCACTCCACCGATCTGCGAGAGGGAGATGGGGACCCTGTCCGTGCTCCGACCCTTCCTGCACGAGCGCGGCATGAAACATCAGAGAGAGAGAGGGAGGGAGGGAGGGAGAGGGAGACACAGAGAAGGCACGCACGGTCGTTTCAAGAAGAGGACAACGAGGACGATGGCGAGGAAGTGCTTCGGCGACGGCGGCAGCGGCAGCTCGGGGCTGTTCCTGCTGGGAGCCGGTCCCGCCCGCTGGCGCTTCTCCGGAGGCAGAGGCGGCGGCGGCGCACCGCCGTCGCCGACCGCCACGAACAGCGCCCTCTTGGGAGCCATTGGCCGGACCCGGACCCTCCCTCGCAGCCTGGTCGATCTCTCCCTGCTCCTCTGCTCTCTGGCTCCTCCTCAAGTCCTGGCCGCCGCCGCCGCGTCGGAGGGGACAGAGGAGCAAAAGCCGATCCGCAGTACTTAATGTTGCCTTCTCTGTGTATATTTGATGATATAATAATGCATGATATATATATTTCTATTCAATCCGGTTATTCCACCTTGCTTCAATTCTATTCATTCATTTATCCTTTCCGAGAAACTTAATGTTGGATATTTATACAAATTTGATGGTCATTCTACTATAATGGATATCAAGTGAGATTATAATTTACTAATGGTGGTTATATTTCTTGTAGAAACTTGTTGGCAATTTGTTAAAGTCCATCCATTCTGTTTTAAGGCTATGTGCAAGGCAAATTGTTATTTGGAGAGCAAATCCCAGGGTGTCGATGTGGGAGGATACTATTGTTCAGGACATGCAATTCATGGTTTGTGCATTTGTCGTTTGTGCAAACATTAGTTATGTCAGAGTAGAAGCGAAGATACCCGCTTATATGGTACAATCTATCGTCAATAAGTCCTGTCCAAATAATTATAGTAACTAGTTAGCTTTCTTCTATGATAGATGCTACTAGTTAACTAGTTGTCTTTTTTTTTCTAGATTTACCATCTTTGTTTTCTTTGGTGATTCCCTCAAGGAATACTTGCTTTTAGTGGCTAGACATTTTAATAATACATTGTGTTCCCCTCTTTATGAAGTTTTTAAGCCTTTTGGGCTTGTTGCTTTTTGTTTGTGTGACCTTAGACATGTGATGAGCTTGCATCGACCTTAATTTATTTGAAATACATGTGTGTGATTTTCCTCCTTTGAGCTAGAGGAATTTGTATATTTTGATATGTTCATCAAAATCCCTAGATTCAACGATATACTTCCTCCCTTTCAAATTATAAGCCGCTTTACATCTATCTAGGCCGCATGTGCCCCATATGCCACACCCCATGCACATTGCATGCAGTAATTTTTTAGATTTTCATGAACTCGAAGAACATTGTAGCACGCATGCGTGCGATACACCATCCAACTCTGGTTTCTCTGCCTTCTCGGTGCTCACACCTCCCCGGCTAGGCTTGGGAATTTGGGATGCTAGGACGGAGTATTGGAGTCGAAGAGACAATGCCAATGTGTCGATGTCGATTGGGGAATCAGACGGTTGGGCCTTAATTGGGCTGACGTTGCCTGCTGGGCTGAACCAAAGTCAGGCCCAAGCACCAGCCTGCCTAGCCATCTTCTATCACCGGCTCGCTACTCCTCGGCATTGTCACGGCCGAATGCTCGGTCGGCGTACTTGGCAACAGGAGGTAAGGAAGGAGGGGGGTGGGGGTCTGGAGCGACGCCGCCGATAGCTAGGGCAGCCGCCCCACCACGCCCCTGTAGAGTTTTTTTTTTTCGAACTTGGGACAAACGAGTTCTACCATGAGTAAGAATAGAACAGGTGAAGTTGTCTCCGAGTTCTGCAACGAACAAGAAAAGGCGGATGAAGGAGGTGGTGTGTTCATTAAAAGAAAAGACGGCACGCGCTGGCGCGGACGGGCGGCGGCGCGAGCTCACGCAGGAGGGCCGCGAGCTGGCGCGGGCGGGCGGCGGCGCGAGCTCACGTGGGGCTGCAGCAGGCGTGGGTGGGCGGGTGGCGGTGCTAGCTGGGCGGCATGAGCAGGGGCCGGCGGCGCTGGTTGGAGTAAACGGAGGAGGAAGAAGCTCCTATTTCTATGACACGTGGGCCCTACAATCGACGGTGTTAACCGATCTGTTATCCCATTCCCCACGTCCCTCCAGCCAAATATACAAATAGAGCCGTTCCATCCTTTCAACTAAACATAATATGAAACCATTCTATTCCTAAAATTTGGAATAGAACCATTCTATTCTACTCGCTCTCCAATCTAACGCACCCTAGTGGCTAGTTTGGCAACAGGCGCATGCATATTAACCCAGGGAGCCAGGGACATGCATATATAAGCTGTTAGGAATAATCAAGCATTTGACTCGCAAGCTGCTAATGACATGCGTGCCGCCTGCTGCTTGACGTGGCGGTGTGATCATTATTGAAAGGAGTTGTGATCGATTGGTCCCAAACACAAAGCAGCTAGCAGTACTGCTGTGTCAGGCTAAAAACTGAATGGATTATTCATCCGTGTTTCCGTTTATCCTGAATTTTATCTCACTGTTCAGTAGGTTGTAAGTTCATTCTAGCCAACTCGTGATCTTGACAAGCTGCTTTAGTAAATAGCCGAAACCAAAAGAGCAACTCAACATACAGAGTCAAATAACCATCACAGGGCTACTGGATTCACCAATGGAGTCCCATTCTACACGAGGGCCAACATCTTTAGTTTGCGAAGGACACTAGGGCCAACATCATCCTTCCGCCAAAGAAACCTGATGCCAAGCACATGGGGGACTTCCCCCGGATTAGCTTGAGCATCCACAGCATTAATTTCCACGAAATAGGCTAAGCGATAGGCTCATTTTCTGCTAGAAGTTTTACTTAGCGCAATTCAACTCTCGTCTTGAGCATCTTGATCTTTTCACCTTCCATGTTGCGTTCCACTTCCACCTGACAAATGTCCATGACATCAATGCTTAATTGTTGTCAGAAGTTGTATCATTTATAAAACGACTCCAACACAATTTGCAGCCACATCAGTCATTCATGATTCGGTATAAATATTTATCTTCCAATAGCTGATCTATCAGATTAGGAACAGAATGTATACTCCACCTGGCACCATGTAAAACCCCTTACCTAATTTAGATAACTGCCCGGGTCACAAATTCACAACCCAATTTCAGTATTTTGCTCGTTATTTTTTCCAATTCTTCTATACGCAATTACCTTGGGCATTACTGATATTAGAAGAATGAGGTATCAGCACTCTAGCAGCAGTGTGGTGCCAATGAACATGATTTTTTTTTTTTTGGCCAGCAGAACACGCACCAAAAGCTCATAAATATGGTCGCTACAATAGAACCATGGTACATTAAGATGCAGACTATGATCACCTGAAGGTAACTTCATATCAACCAAGCTTGTCAGATGGAAACACCACTATTGTTATTGGGCAGGATAAAGCAAATATAATGTTCAATATTTGTCAAGCATCATCTATCTTTAGTTTAACTGGGTGATGTGTCTGATTACACTTATCAGCGGAACAAAAATTAAATACCCTGTTCAATTCGAAATACAAGGAAACCATGTATTAGTATTTTTTTTTTCAAATTGAACGGGTATTTATTTGTTTATTCAGCTCATAAGTGTAATCCGATACATAACCCAGTAAAACTAATAAAGATGATGCCTGGCAAATGTATAGAAGAACAGTATATTTGCTTTATATCCTGCCCAATGCAAACCTGTTGCTGCACCTCAGGTGATTGCAGTCTCCATCTTGCATATCGATTTGGTGGCTACGACTTACCAATGCAATGTGTGTACATGGAATGGCTGCCTGCAGGTTGCCGACTGCACTGCATATATATATACACACATACATGCCTGCCGCAGGTGAGAGTGTGATGAGTGGAGTGGGAGTGGGTGAGGGGGCCGGCAAACGGCTTCTTCCATCCGCAAGATGCGCACGCACAAGACGTGTTCTTGCGTTGTAACTGCCGGGCGCCGTACATGAAGATCGGCTGACAAAGATGAGATTGATCGAGACACGTTTGGTGCGTGCAGTGCTCTGGCCCCAACACAAACTAAAGCAGCTAGCGGAAGCAGTGTTGTTGGGTCAGTCTGAAGCTGAAGTCGTCTTTTGCAATTTCAGCTTACTAAAGAAGGTGTGTTCTGAATGAGAGTGTGTCCAGTACGCCGGGGGAAGCAGAAATCAAGCCCATGATATATGAACCCTATTTTGTTTTGGCTTCCTTCTTGTTTAGCCTTAGATTTACGTGCATTTCCACTTATCCTACATTTTATCACGATTATGCAGTAGATTGTATGTAGGTTATTAGTTCTAGTAGGAATCTTGACAAGCTGCTTTAGTAAATAGCTGGAAGCCTGGAACCAAAAAAAAGCAAAGCACAACATGCAGAGTCAAATAACCATCACAGTGCTATTGGGTATTCATCAATCGAGTGCCGTTCTACACTAGTTCAGTACCAACTCTGTCACATCCTTCGGTGTTGCTGCATCATCGACACAGTCAACACAAACAACTCAATGTTTTACAGTTCTCCGAGATTCAGAAACTACTATGAGAAGGAAGACCTCCATCATGTCTACTGCTGTCAGTTCAGGCTAAGCAAGAGCCTTCTAAGTACTAAGTTTTTCCCTAATATCAGTTTCCTGCTCACTTGGTTGTCAGAAGTTACAATAACTCGCCATGAAATACTGTTGTAGGCAGTTACAGTCAGAGAACAATTGCTGAGCAGTAGCATCTCTTGCCAATCGACTTCAACCCTGTAGTCACCCAACCACACCCTTCCTTGTAGCGTTCCACCTGACAAATCGCCATCACAACAATGCTTAACTGTTAGCCATGGCGCTGTACTTGACAATTATTGTATACAGAAAAAAACCCGACAACGACCAAAAAAGCGCGACTTAACGAAACCAAAGAATTCATGTTCACTTGTTCAGATAAAATGCACTAGCCACTGACATGACAACAAAACGGTATATGTAGTAGGGACAGAAAAGCAAAAAAATAAAAACAAGTGCTTAAGGACCCACGAATATGTGCTCATCTCAAATGCAGTACACTTCAATGTCGAGACTGGTATGATAACAAACAATATATGCAGTTGATGTAGGCAGACCCTTGGCAAAAAACAGTTCAGTGATTGCCTCACTATCAAGCCCTGGCAGCTAAATGCAAGATTTTGGATGTATGATTTTTGGTTCCAGCTCAGTTGAACTATTAACAGCCAAATGGACAAGATAAGAAAATTTTCATTTGGCGTTGCTACTTACCACATCCAAGATTGTATCTGCTTCACCTTTCACCCCACCAAAGGTGAATATTGAGCCACCGAGCACAGCTGAAGAATGGTATCCTCTGGTGTAGTTCATGGGTTCAACCATCATCCATGACGGCATCCTTGGCTCATACACCTCAACAGTAGCCACCATTGCTTTAGCCCCAGTGTCGTATCCACCAATCGAGAATCTGGAGAGAAAAAAATACAAAGCCAAATTACATCAACAAAGGATAGTATACACCCTGATGCACACCTCCCACCCCCCTGGGCACACGTTACATAGCATATTTTTCATCTTCAGTTCATTGTTTCAACATAAAAGAAAAGTTACATGACTTACATCTTCTCATCAAGCACTGTAAGTGTATGACAGCCCTTCCTGCACTCATCTTTGGCAGCATTTTCCAGTTAGGCTCCTGAGGATCAAGTCTTTCAGCAGAGCTGCCAATACACATCACAAAGTTAGCAGAATAGTTTTCTTGTTGTTCCTCTCACTTCAAATACCACTGCCATTATACAATAGAGAATAGCCTAATGAACATTTATGAAATAATTCAGTTTATTTAGATTTGCACTAAACCATAGGCCACCGCATGAGGTTTAACTAACTGTTTTGAGATGTTTGGAGGTTTTATGAGCTGTTGTATTTCCACCAGATCAAAACTAAACCAATCAACTAAGTACAGGCAGGAAAAGTACAGCACCTCAGATATTCGACACCATTGAAGCCACCAACAGCATAAATCACACCATTTAGTGCTACACCAGCTAGAGCAAAGCGCTGGAGAACAGTGTGACAAAGTCAGTCAAGCTAAAGAGTTTAACATATTATGTGGAGATTTGTGTCAGAAGCAAATATTTTCCCAAAAAGGACAGTACATCAAATTGAAATGGAACCAGGAACTGTTTTTCTTCACTGCAGAATTACACAGTTTTCCATGAGTAAATGGTTATTATTTCCCAAGCTGTTTTTGTCTTAGGCAAATTTATGCATGTTCTACTAAGTCTAGGTGCTTCAGTAATGTATGGGAAGAAAAGCTTTCACATTCTGAACAAATGAATGGTAGAAACTGATACCTTTTCCAGCATAGGTTGATTCTTTATCCACTTTCCATGAGTAGGATCAAACATCTCAACATCAGAGAAACACTCAGTTCCATCTCCACCACCAAATACATATATTCTCCCATTGACACTAACCCCAGCAAGGCTCCCCTTGTCACGATTCAACGATGGGCATGTGGACCAATCATCACGGCTTCGGTCATAACAGTCAACTTCATCCAAAAGATAAATGCAGAATCAGGACAGAGATTGAAATACGAGAGCTCAAGAAGGAACTAAACTTAGAAGCCAAGTAGTAACCTGTATCAAACCAGCAAGCACCATCACCACCACCAAGAACAAATATCTTGCCCTCTAGTGCAACAGTTGATGTATATGACTTGCCAACAGCCATTGGTTTGAGGGGTGTTAGTACGTCCAATGAAGGGGAAAAAGAGTCTAGCGATGGCACAAATGAGAAGCCATCAAAACCACCAACTAGATAAATGACATCTTCTGAACCCAAACATTGTTCTACAAACTGGTTAAGTGAATCGTCTAGGGTCAAAGGATCTATTTTAGAATTCAATGTCTTAACTGTTCCCTTTAGTTCAACAATTCTTTTCAGTAACCTCTCATTCACCCCTTGTAAATGTTTGACTTCTTTGTTGGACCAAGCCTGCATTTTGAACATAAATTAGATTTAACCACCAAAACTTTTTTGCCAGCAAATGAGATGTTTTCCTATACTTTGGGCTTGCATCCTTTTTCTCTACTTCCATATTGAAAGAGTGAGGTTGAACAATCGATCATAGAGGATCCTAGCTGAAAGATTGATTAGAAACTAAGCAGATGCGAGACTGATTTAGAAGCATAATGGAAAAATCTTTTCATTTCATCCTGCCTTGCTTCTTCCATTTCTTTAGGTAGCCGTGAACCAAAAACACTACAAGCATCTTATGGATTCTCCCTGTTAGTGCCACATAACAAATTTAGCCATTCTAGAGTGCAAAATTTAGCTATTCCAATCCTACACACATGCAGTCTAGTATCAGTATAATAATATACAAAAATTTACTCAACATAATGTCGCTTGCTTTATTCTCTTGGTTCCTACATTGTCATCCTAAGTTATCAACACATCTATTCAAAGTGCAATTTCTGGTTTATTTTTTTGCATATAACATTTCCATAAATTTAAGATTGCATAGTTCAGTATAACAGATGCAAGGCTTCTCATGAGGTTATAGCATAAGAAGAGACCTGCTTCTTCTCCATCACCTCTATTCGTCCAGATAACTCTCTAACTACATCAATCAGCTGCAAACAAAATTAGTGTGAGAAATTTTGCAATAGATAGACAAGAACTAAGCATGTTATCTAGACTGAATGAACTGAAGCATGAAACAAGGATGATAAGATGGAATGCAGATATCAGTTGAGTTCAAAGTTACAACCTTGGCTTCTGTGCATGATTGAGAGTCCAATAACTGCACCAGCAAATTAGAATGCCCCAAGGACAGCTTATCAACTTCAGAATCTAAGGTTTCTGGCAAATTAGAGTTCCCATCCAGAATTGCACATTTGACCTCTTGGGCATACTTGCAGCTATATGCATCATTATCTTCAGTTTCAGTAGTATTGGCATAAAAATCAGAACGCCACTGCTGACCAGGAAAAGTCATGCGCCTTGTAACACCTGATCAAAGCCCAGCATTTTTCCCTGCTTATCAGGGTACTGTTGTTGTTGCACTGGAACCACCCTATCTGATAGTGCATAGTCCTCCTCTCTGGTGATGTGTATTGACAATCCAGTTCATCGAAACCACCAGAAGATTCATTACCTGAGCTTGCATGTTCCACATCCACATCTCTTGTCCCAACTTCCTCAAATTTATTCTTCTTCACTATGTCAGCATATGACTTTACAACCTTTTCTGATTTGAGATTATTGTTCCCCTCACACTCTGTTGCCCATCCAGGTGACAGCACTAATTCTCTCCCATGATCATCAGCTGGTACTGCGGCAGGGGGCATCCAGAAATTGTTGGGGGGAGAAGGAGGAGGAGTAAACAAATCCATCAAAACACATGTTTGAGCATGATCCAATTCAAACTTGAAAAAATGGAGCTTCTGGCCAGGGACACCAGGTGTGTTCTGATAGTAATTGGCTATAATAGCATTTCTGAACTGATTCTCTGCTAGCGGGAAACACCACACCCTTACCCGCATTGCAACCTAAACAAATAAAAGGGCATGAATATAGAAGCCATTTTACTGAGAGTGAAAAAGAAGATGACATTCAAAGTACAGACACCAGGGATTGTACCTGGGCAGGATAGCTTGTTTTGCCCTTGCTATCATGTGACCATGCATTTGATTCAGGACAGAACTTGCCATTCCCTGCAGCTTCATAAATACCATACAATCTCATGATCATCATAATTGAAGAGGGAGAGAGGTAGTCCTTCCTTAATGTTTCGTATATATGAAATATGTGATTTTGGCAAGCCTGAAACATGACACAAATGGTAACTAAGTCAGTGGATCACTCAACAAGTTGATATGCTTTGGGAGGCATGCAATGATATACCCCCTCACAGGAAAAAAGACACAAATGCATTAAAGGGGTAGCTCAGTTTTGTAAAAACAAAGCTTAGAGAAGAGTTGTGATCAAGAGAGATCAAGAGCATACCAAAAGTTGCCGTGAGTGACACTCTTGAATAGTATTGTTTGTGCAACCAAATATCACAGCTCCAAGGTCTTTGCGGTTGGAGGTTTCTTGCAGGAATGGACAGGTTTGTTGGCCTGGTATTTTTTACAACTTGGCTCCACGAGGATTTGCTCGTCACCATTGTACCGATACTAGCAAGATGAGAAACAAAAGGAAAGGAATAAATATACTGCACTGTCCAGTTGATGTATACCCAGTTGCATGTTTGATGCATGAGGCAAGAAAAGGTAATGTTCTTCAGGAATCACAGCTACTTATTTTGTAAACATGAAAGCAAAGATCAAATGACAGTAATGCAAATACTGAAATACACATAATACAATTTGGCATTATCATATCATTTGACTTAGGTTATTGTACACTAAAGTTCAAGAAAAATCTCACTTGCAGCACAGTATATTTTCAGAATTGTTTTCTCTGATTTCATCACAACAGAAAAGAAGGCAACATAATTAGGTACATCTACATATCAAAGTGAGCAGATGACCCTTTATGAGATTTTGTTTTTCATATGACGGTGCACAGATGTTTTGGGAGTGGCCCATTTTGCACAATTTAGTTATGATAATAATAATGCAAACTGAATTTCAATGATGAGTAGTATGCAGCTACATTACAAGGTCAGAGTCTCAGGTTAAGCTTGGTAACAAAATTCAACAGATGCGACTGGCCCTCGTTCCTGAGTGTTGATATGTACTTAGCGCATGGAGATGAAGCTCCAGTCACTGAACTCGTAGCTGGAATGGACTACCAAAATGATGTGCAGCAGTTCAATCAATAATGTCTCAGTACAATGCCCAGTCCTCCCACACACAAGAAATTGTAGTGGGGCCACAGGGCAAAAATTAATGAAGGAACTGAACAAGTTGTACATGAAGGCACCAGTAATTGGGTAAAGGTGACACATGCGAAATCAATAGTGGAATACGGGAGAAACCTAGATGGCCACTTGATGTTCATGACTTCATTCTAGAAGCAACAACAATTACTCAGGGGGGTGAAAGGAAAATCACCCCTAACCCACAAAACTCTGTTCTTTTGAGGCAAACAAAACCCTGTTCTGTTCACGAATCTTTCGGAATCAATGCCCTGCATAGATGGATGAAGGCTACATTGCGTTATCGGCTAGGAGTAGGAGCGAAATCCTACCCTCGATCGAACCATCAGCACAAGCACACGAACCAATCCAATCATCAGTAACAAGCGCGGCGCATGATTGATCGAGCAAAACCGCTACTTTTCGTGAGTCAAGTAGTTGAACCCAAATCCATCCAAGAAGCAGAATACGACCAGAGCAGAAAAGGATGCGAGAGATTATCTCGTGCGGACTAGACGAAAGGCACAAGCTTTATGGTGTTCCTCTGGTCAGCGGATCAAGCAAGAAAGCAAGAAAGCGCCGACTAGACGAAACGGAAAGGAAATGCTGCGGTTGGGGTTTCGTGGTACGGCCCGTACCTTGAAATCGCTTTGCTTTGCTTGGGGTGGAGCCGTGGAGGAGTGCCAAGCCCCACTGCCGCACTGTTGCAAGAAGGAAGAGGAGGAGGGGACGCGGCGATCGCACTCGCGCTGCAGCGAAATCCTCGCCCACGCCGATCGAAGTGGTTCTTGCTCGCACTCACAGGCCGGCGAAGCGAAGGCAGGGCGTGGATGGAGTGAACTGCTCTGCCTCTCTGGCCTGGCCTCTGTGCGCCCCGCGCGGTGAGAAGAGAAGGGAAGGGAGCAGTGATGGCTGATTGATGAGGAGGAAAGGTGAAAAGGCAGCGGTGGGTAGAAAAAGCAAATGCTGTTTTTACTGCTCCGCCTCGTCCGTCCTCCCCGCGTTACGCGTGTGTCATCTTTGTACAGCATGTATGTACACGTACAGCAAGCAACCAACCTAGAGGAGGAGGCCTGCCCCACCAGATAGAGGCACAGACACAGTATAGTTGTCGTTTTCCGTTCCAGATAAGCTAGCGCCCGACCAGAGAACGTGTCCGGACCTAGCTCTCGTGGCCCGCTCCCCACATCCCGCACAGGCCCGCATAGCATCCTGCGTCCCGCGCCCGCCCGCATCGCGGTACCAGCGTCCGAAACCGCGATCCCACGCTCGCACGGGGAAAACCCACGTGGCTCCCAAGTCAGCTACCCCGCTTGTGCATGCGCGCCGCTGCTAGCCTTAGGCGCCCACGCTTAACCACGGTGGCGCCCTAGCAGCAGGACCAGCAGGCTGCCACAGGCTGCTGTCCGTTAACTACCAGCGCCCATTACAACATGTACAACACCCAATTTATTTTTGAAACATACGTATAAAACACTTACAACATACGTCTAAAACAGATAAAACACTTGTAACATGCTCTTGAAACATGTGTCTATAACCATAGCAACATATTCAATATCCGGATCCACTTTTGCAACATCTATATTAAACAAATGCAACATAAGTCTAAAATATCTAAAACATTTAAAAATATATACTTAAAGCATGCGTGTATAGACATAACAACATATGCAACATCTAGATGAAACACTTGAAACACACGTCTGAAACACCTGAAACACTTGAAAACATACGCTTGCAACATACGTATATTGTCATTGCAACATATGTAACATTTCAAATATATTTTTGCAACATCCAAATAAAACACTTGAAACATGAATCTAAAAATGCCTGAAATATTTGAAACACGACGTCTCCAGTAGCCACAGCCTACCTGTTGGGGGAACTGCAGTAGTCAACAAGCTCGTGTCAGGGGACGTCGCTCCGCGGGCTCGCGCCCGTCGGCGTGGCCCGTCGCTCCACCTGCTCGTGACCCAGGCTCGCGCTCATTGACATGGCTAGCGCCGCTGTTCTCTTGGCCGTATTAGTCTAGCGCCTTTTCGCTTGGCGGGGGATGGGGTGAGGCGTGATCGGCAATGGGGTGCGGGGCGGTTGGGGAAGGGCGTGGCACTGCAGGAGACGGGCGTGCGGTGAGGGGAAGGGGCGCGAAGGGGCGGGCGGATGAGCGGCCATGCCACGACGAGTGGATGAGCGGAGTGGGGATTTTTTATGTGTTTTTGAGAGAGATGGGGCCGGTTGGCTGCGTAAGTCTAGGAGCCGCGTCCAATGGACGGACGTCCGTGGCGTATCATTATTGTTTCGGTTATTACAGGCAAAGATTAAGATGGAAATTAAACGGAAAAAAATAGTAGAATGCCCAGGTCCTCAAAAAAATTTATAGTGAAGCCGCATGGCAAAATTAACGAAGGAAACGAACAAAAAAGCAGTGGTCGGATGAATCAATGTCGCCTGTCCTGTGCAATGTAGGATGGAAGGAAGCAGTTTCCCGTTACGGGAAACGGGGGCCGTTCTGCTACCCGTACGTGGGCCACCTATGGCTATTTGGCTATAGCCCGGCGTTGGCCCAACTAAGCCCACTCCCTCGGGCCGTGCACTTGAGTTCAGTTTCTCCTTCTTTTCCAATATTCACCTTGTCAAATATTCAGTTCCAGACTTGATTAATCCAAGCAATGCTCTGCACTGCACTGCATGTTGATGATGTCGCAGTTGAAATTCCATCAAAGAAATTTGGCATAGGATTAGCATTTAACTCACACTGCATGTTGATCATCTGCTCCTGTTCGCTTGAACTTATCAGCCTAGCTTATCAACCATGGTATAATGTTTTTATCTCACGACAAATCAATAAACAGTACTTTTCAACCTAACTTATCAGCGAAGTGAACAGGTAAAGCTGAAATCAAAGAAAGAATGCAACCAAAACGAGAGGACGGCGAGTAAGAAAGGTGAAGCTAAGGCGGAACATAAATACCGTTTTCTTCACTTGGACCCTACTAGTACTACACACACAAGTTTTGTGCAAACAACCTAGGTCAGCGAGGCTAACCTCACTGACCTATAGCCTGTTCGGTCGACTGGTTTGTTTCGTTGCTGGTTCATGAAGAAGTACTACTGGCTGGTTTGTGAGAGAAAAATACTGTTCCGGCTGAAAATTTATGATTATTTACGACAAGCCACAGCCAAACGAACAGGCTGCTAACCTGCAAGCTAAGTTGTGCTGTGTAGATTAGAGCCGGAGAAGCATGTAGGCACCTTTGTAAGTATTGCAATTTTACCAACGATGTTTGGTCCAATGAAATACTTGGTGTGGTCTCACCAGTTTCGCAGAGCTTGATTAAAGTGGGTCTACATACAAATGATGGTGTAAATGTTCATCTCTAATTAACAATGGGCAGAAAATTTGTTTTCCATGGAATAATAATATATTTTTCATGGCACATTTACATTTGCACGGCACATTTCAATCCAACGGGCAGAAAAAGGTATTTATTTACTAATAAGAGCATCTCCAAGAGTTTCTAAAACCCACTCCCAATCTAGATGTTTTGGCAAGGTTGAAAAAAAACCGCTATCCAACAACTCCATATCTCAACTTCCAATCTTCCTGCAAGTGGAAAAATCGACCTCATCGCGTGGATATATACGCACATCCATCGCGCCAATCCGAATTTGTAAGGACATGGGGAAGATTAAGAAGTTAGATAGGGTTCCCGGTGTAAATGTATAAGAGAAAAAAGAAAGTATAAAAATGGTTAGGGTGACTTAGAAATAGTTCGGGAGTCCTGATATAAAATTACATTCTATCTTCTAGGAGCGAGATTTTAGAAACTGTTGAGAAAGCCAATAAATATGCTCCCATCATTTTTTAGTCACTTGAAAAACTCATTAATTTACTAAGTGATTTTAGAAGCTATTGGAGATGCTCTAACTAGGTTTCCTTTGCCTGTTTTGCATCTTGCCACTCTCACACGTCTTGCTTTGTTCAGGCCTCCTCAGATTAGTCACAGGATGAATTGTTCAGGTTTTCCTACATCCCCGTAACATTTGGCATGCAGTGGCAGTAACTGTCTTGTGAACATCATCCATTAAGCACAGTTCATGATCCTTGTGCCTTGGTGTAATTGTTGTACATTTAATGGCATGAGTTACACCTCTAACAAGGCCCAATAATATCTTCCCTGTGCTACTGTTATAGTTTCACATCCATTGTACTACTAAACATCTGGGTACATATTCTGGTTCAGTGAAATGTATCACATTTGTTCCTAGCTGTACATTTGACATTAGCATTTTGTTTT